GCCCATCCCCCCACCCAGCTTGCCTAGGCTCTTTTCAAATCTGCTTTGCTGGAAGCTTTTATGAGGAATCTTAGGTTGGACTTTTAAAGCCTCTCCAGGTCAAGGAAAAGAAGAAGCCAAGTCAAGAACTTACCATCAGACTTCAGATTTGGCTTAACTCCTCTCTTCTTGAGGTCCCCAAGATGTCCTGAGGTTCCTGGGCCTGGGCCTGCCACAATGTGACCTTCCTTACTCTCCTGGGAAAGCTGCTGGAAATCCTGTACACAGGGTATCAGGCCAGTTTCTCCAAAGGGCTTTATTGGCCCCGTAAAGTCAACTTTAGTTCCTTAAAACAATCTGGTCATATGCATATTTTATGCATATAATTTTACTTACATATTTTATGCCTGTGCTCAAAAGTGACATTCAAGTCAAAGCGTTGTTAATACAACCAATGTTTTCAATCAAGTCCTGTTCTAAGGGCAGGCTGTTACTGACCTTTATACAAGTAACTATACTGTCATGAAAATAAGACCACTCAACACATTTCTATATTCTGGAGGAATCAGGTAGGGAGAAAAGGTAAATATTTCAATTCTGTTTACAAAGGTATTACTTTAATAAATTGCCTTAAATCATAAATAGCTTGAGAGAAAAATGTTTCCAGAGCACCTAGGTGGCTCAGTTAAGCATCCAACTCTTGGTTTCAGCTCAGATCATGATCTCATGGTTCATGGGTTCGAGCCCCACATTGGGCTCAGAGCTGACAGTGCAGAGCCTAGGAACTTTTTAAAAAGCCCTTTTGCCCTAAAGGGAAACTGAGTACCCTAAGGGAAAGAAATCCATTCCCAAACCAAGGTGGAAGGCTTTACTAAATCATAAAGGCACACAGCTCGAAATCTAGAACATGGGAATCTTTTAATTTCCATCTTAGTTGAAATCCCCGATACAAAGAAGCAAATCCCCCTGATCATGTAGGTGGATGGGAGCCTCCGCCTATCATTCAGGTTGCAACCCAGTTCTTTGAGGAATTAAAAACCGCTGTGCTGTCTGAAAAATCTCAGTTTTTACAAGAACAGAATTGGGGCTCTAGAGAGTTTGATGCCTGTGTGGAATTCTCTCTCCTTCTTTCTCTCTGCTCCCTCCTTGCTCTCTCTCAAAAATAAATACATAACTTAAAAAGAAGAAGAAAGTTTACTTACCTTTCTCAACCAGGCTCCACAAAGATCCAGGAGAGTGAGCTTTGATGAGAATTCTCACCCTTTGCTGGCTTCTGCCAGTTTCCCCAGGATCCCATCTGCAGGCTCTGGAGTGAGTGGAGTGTTCCAAGAGAGACGTCATATGCTGGTGACCAGAAATTATAGAGGAGGAAAAATGATTTCCTCCTACTTTTTATAGTGAGTGCTTGGCTAAGACCTTTTTTCCTCTGGAGAACCTCATAAATGGATACATTTACTAAGTTAAAAATTCTCCACTGTGCCCACCATCATTCAAGATAACTTTTGGTAAGGTTATCTGTTTGTTCAGACTTAAAACAATATTCTATTCACCTGTTGCCTCACCCTGGACCCAGACCAGTTTAAGTTGGACCTAGCCTGACCCCAGACCTGAGTAAGTTTTTTTTTTTTTTTTTAAATGTTTTATTTGTTTCTAGGAGAGAGAGAGAGACAGCGTGAGCAGGGGAGGGTCAGAGAGAGAGGGAGTCACAGACTGAAACAGGCTGCAGGCTCTGAGCTGGCAGTCAGCACAGAGCCTGATGCGGGGCTCGAACCCACAAACCGCGAGATCATGACCTAAGCGAAAGTCGGACGCTTAACCGACTAAGCCACCCAGGTGCCCCCTGAGTAAGTTTTTAAGTTGAACCCAGTCCATTTTCTGGACTGAGTCCCTAAAAAGAAATGCTTGAATAAAGTCTCACAGTTCATAATGCAAACACCATGAAGCTAGAATCCAAGAGGGTCTTGCCCACAACCTGCCGAGGCTTGAGAAAGCCTCAAGTTCAGTGGGCTGGGTGGGCACCTGCGCCTGCTTACTGGTTGTTCCTGGGGATGGCCAGGGGTCTCCTTCCTTTATTCCCTCTTCTGATACCAGAACTGTTCAAAGATAAACTGAAGCATATTAAAAATGTTAAGAGTTTATTTGAGCACAAATCAAATCAGGCAGTGTCGAATCAGAAGTGATTACCAGCACTCTCTCAAAAGTCCAAGGAGAGGCTTTTATAGAGAAAGGATGGACACAAGAGAGTTTTATTTGGTTGGGTTGTTTTCTTAGTTTAGGGGAGCAAATAAAGATGGCTCATTGGTTGAGTGTCCAACTCTTGGCTTCAGCTCAGGTCATGATCTCGCAGTGGTGGATTGGAGCCCTGCGTTGGGCTCCTCGCTGAGCGCAGAGCCTGCTTGGGATTCTCTCTCTGCCCCTCTTGGCTCTCTCTCAAAATAAACAAACATTTTTTTAAAATTAAAAATAAAGTTTATTTTTAGGTGGGCTCGACCCTACTGTGGGGCTGGTACTCACAACCCTGGGATCAAGGTCACATGCTTCACTGACTGAGCCAGCCAGGCGCTCCAGCAAGGAAGTTACTGATAGTCTGTACTTTAAAGCCTAGTTAGCTGTTTGTGATGAGTTGTCCTTAACTTTTAATTTGGTAACACTGTGGAATTTACAGGTTTAGATTTTGATTTGCTTACGGAAATCACCTTGGGGCGCCTGGGTGGCTCAGTCAGTTAGGCGGCCGACTTCGGCTCAGGTCTTGATCGCACAGCTCGCCCGTGAGTTTGAGCCCCATGTCGGGCTCTGCGCTGACAGCTCTGCGCCTGGAGCCTGCTTCAGATTCTGTGTTTCCCTCTTTCTCTGCCCCTCCCCTGCTCACGCTCTTTCTGTCTCTCAAAAATAAATAAACGTTATTTAAAAAAATTAAAAAGAAACCACCTTGACATTAGAGCCACCTCAGCATAACACCTTCCCTGCTTAGTTAATTTAACAATAGTTACCAAAAGGATTTTCTACTTGGTTTACTCTGATGCTTGCTTCTGAGTCACGGTGAAAAATTCTTTCTGCCTCTAGGTGATTGGAGGGAGGGCCTGGGTTAATGTCACATCACAGTGCTTTCTCCTCCCCTCAGGAAGTAAAGTCCACTCAACCTCAAGGACTTAGAATGCTCTCTTGTTTTCACAGTGCAGCTGAATGAAACCCCTTGAAAAAAAAAAAGAGTGACTTTCTAAAATATCGTAGACTTTATTTTTCTTCTCAGATCGGTTCATCTGGATCCCTTTGCTGAACATCATATCAAAGGTAAAAATCAATATGGGATTGTGTGTTGGGGTTGGCTTTCTATAATGTTTTGAACGACTGGCATCTCCCCCATTCCTTATCCCACCCCTGGCCTGCTTACATCCCACATGTGCTGGTACCCGACTGTTCTTTCTAGAAAGCAGCAGCCTGCCTGCCAACCCAATAGTGGGAAGCCAGGAAAGCTCTGTCCCTTCCTCAGAACATTTACACACACACACACACGCACACATTTTTTTTTTTTTACTTAAGCTTTTGTGAGAAAACAACAGACTCTATGATACTTCTCTCCTGAGTTCTTTCTAGCCAGCACCTCCTAAGGCCAAAAACATTTTCTCGCAGAACCGTAAGATCACCATCACACTAGAGATTTATTTTAAGTTTATGTATTTATTTTGAGAGAGAGAGAAAGCACGGGAAGGGGAGAGGCAGAGAGAGGGGGACAGAGAGAATCCCAAGCAGGCTCGTCAGCACAGAGCCTGATGCGGAGCTTGATCTCTCGGTTCATGAGATCAGGACCTGAGTCAAAACCAAGAGTCAGACCTTAAGGGACTGAACCAACCAGGTGCCTCTCATACCCAAGAGATTTAACCTTGTCTACTGTAAAGTCCATAAACAAGTGACCTCCCAAACTCCTTTCTGGACTTTTTTCTGGTCCAGGATTCATTCTAGGAACAGTCACTGCAGTTTGTTGTCATGTCTATTTAGTCCCTTAGAATATTTTCTTTTCAGCGGCTGCTTTGTAAAGGGGAATTCCTAGACTGAGGCTACTCCTCCTTCTTATTTCTCTAAAGAGGACCAGAGAAGGGGCGCCTGGGTGGCTCAGTCAGTTAAGCTTCCGACTTCGGCTCAGGTCATTATCTCACGGTTTGTGGGTTCAAGCCCCACGTCGGGCTCTGTGCTGACAGCCAGCTCAGAGCCTGCTTCGGATTCTGTGTCCCCTTCTCTCTCTGACCCTCCCCTGCTCACACTCTCTCTCAGAAATAAATAAAACATTACTTGAAAGAAAGAAAGAAAGAAAGAAAGAAAGAAAGAAAGAAAGAAAGAAAGAAAGAAAAAGAAAGAAAGAAAGAAAAAGAAAGAAAGAAAGAAAGAAAGAAAGAAAGAAAGAAAGAAAGAAAGAAAGAAAGAAAAGAGGACCAGAGAAGAGCCCAGAGCTTCCCCTAGGATGTGGCTTGCAGAACATGGGGGACGACACAGAGGACAGTTGCTGTGAGCGGGCCAGCCTCCAATCAGTGAGGTCAACCTTTGCACATAACTCCTTTGCAATTCCTCCCTGAAATAAACTGAGTGGGGGAAGAAGAGACGTGACTTTGATGTCCCTCAAATAGCAGCCTTTCATTAGCTCTTTCTCACTCCTCCCATTGTTCTGCCTTGATTGTGATTATAGAATAAACGGGGATATAGAGATACTATACTCAGGTAGATTGGTAGGTAACTAAGGACATATCCCAAGAGAACTGTCAGATCCATCTGAACTTGCCAGGTGAAACTAGGCAGCAGGCTTCCAGAAAGATCTCCAAAGATGGTACAAAGCCCTGCTTGCATTTGAGGTTGAGATCAGGGACTTTATACGCAATTTAGAAATGAGGAAATCATCTAATTTTTAAAGGGGAGGGTTAAAAAAAGTATAAGTGGCTTTGTATCGTGGAGAAAAATAAAGTTGAAAGGTTTAGATCAGTTTCTTGTCAATTGAATCAACTATCTTGGATCTGTCCCACAGACCAGCTGTCATGCTGCAGAGGGCAGGGAAGGCCCGGCCTTACACCAAACCCCTGGATGGAGGCTGGGGATGGATGATTACATTTCATTTCTTCCTGGTAAGAATTTACTTTCCCCCTTCGAGACAGCTCTTGGGAGAAAGGCTCAGAGCGAAGCTAGGAACAGCCACTAGCTGTCAAAGTCAGCAGCCCACACTGAACCCGGAAGGTTGAAAACAGTCCCCTTGAGTGAAGGCTGCAGTGTTCCCCTTCAGTCTCCTCCTTGCTACCAACCTGAAACACACAGGACACCCTAGCCACCATCCACAGCTCTGCCCGGACATCTAAGCACCCCGGAAGGAGCACTGCGAGGTGCCAAAAAGTGCTACTGGGGTGGGTTCCCAGCGCAGCCCAGCACACACGTGGCAGCAGCCTCCTTCTCTCCTAGGGGATGGGGACATTTCCTCCGTTCCACCTGCTGTCTGCTTCCCAACCCATCCCCCAACCATAACTTAAGCTAGAATTAGGCCCAATGTATATTTGTTTTTATGTGTATTTTGATTGAGAGAGCATGCGTGCACGCACGTTCGAATGCATGCGGGGGAGGGGCAAAGAGTGAAAGAACCCCAAGCAGGCTCTGCGCTGTCAGCACAGAGCCCGATGTACGGCTCCATCTCACAGGAGCCATGAGATCATGTATGACCTGGGTTGAAATCAAGTCGGATACTTAACCAATGGAGCCCCCCAGGGGCCCCCCAATGTTTATTTCTGGTATGTCTGGAAAAGGAGAAGATGTAGATTCTGAAACTGGAGCTTGATTTAATTCCTTCATCTGTAAGCAACTGGACTAGGCACTCCATTTAAAAAAATTTTTTCTAAACGTTTATTTATTTGAGAGAGACAGACACATAGCATGAGAGGGAGGGAGTCACAGAATCCAAAGCAGGCTCTAGGCTCTGAGCTGTCGGCACAGAGCCCGACGCGGGGCTCAAACACATGAACCGTGAGATCATGAGCTGAGCTGGAGCTGGCCGCTCAACAGACTGAGCCAGCCAGGCGCCCCGACACTCCACTTTTTAATTAACTTCTTTCCCTCATCCTCCCAGAAGCTCTTCAGGTTGTTGTGAGACTGACGATCTCATTCTGGAATACAGGTGAGCCCCGTTCCAGCTGTGCCCCAAACAAGCCTGTGACAGAGGTGCTAACTCCACAGTTCCTCTAAGTGCTCCCAAATTAGTTACCTTTCAGATGTACTCACAGAGGTACCCTCCCCTCCTGCCTCGCTCCCCTGCTGGGCCCTACTGGAGGCTCACAGAGACGGGAGTGGGGTCCTGGTGCCCACTAACAATGCTGCAGACACAACGCGGGAACTAAGAACGCCATAAGCAGCACGACGGGAAAACATCAGGCTTCCTCCTCAGTGACAGTGACAGGGGAAAGTCGGGGCACAGGTCCTCAGGCAGAAGTTACAAGGAATATAGGCCTCCTAACCAGATGACTATTTGTTAAACATAAGCTTCATTACCAAAGAATGTGGACTCTTCCCCCCCCCCCCCGGAAATGTTACTAATAAGGAAATGAAGGATGTACCAGTGGGAGAGCCCTCCCTGTGGCTGGGCCACCTCCCCAATCGCGGGCTTTGCAGAACTGGTATTGCCCAAGAGGGTGTCCAGATCTCCCACCTTGCTCCCCACACGGGTAAGACGGATGGAGGACTGAGGGACACACTTAGGAATTAACCAGGTGACGAACAGAGATCGGAGAGATGAGCAGGGGCCTTGTAGGGCATATTAAAAACACTGTTGCTGTTGTTTTTATCTTGAAGCTCCTTGAAGCTGAGGAGCTAATGTAGAAAAGCAGGGGAATGATGGGGTGAGATGTGCCTTTCAGGAAAATGGCGCTGCCTGCAGGGTGGATGATGATTGGTGGGGGACCGGCCTGGAAGCAGGGAGAGCCACTGGAATGACGCTGTAATAATCCAGGTGAGGGAAAAAAGACCTTAAATTAAGGCAACAGCAATGAGGATGGACAAGCTACAGATCCGTGCAAGACTGAGGAGACAGACTGAGCAGACTTGGATGGCCACTGAACGTCAGGGAGAGAGGGAGTCCGGGAGTCCTGGGCTGGAGGCCTGGCCAACTTGGGAGGACGACGGGTGTCATTCACTGGGCTGGAGGACGCGAGGGAAGAGCACGTGAGGATGCCCACATCGCTTCATCCCGGACAGCCTGACGGAGCTGTGACGTAACCACTGACGTGTTGGGCGGCCCAGGCGCATGCGGAGCACGGGGTTTGCACATGGAAATCTGGGAGTCATCGGCATGTGCGGCCTGACTTGTGCCATCGGGCAGGGGGTGCAAAATGGCCAGGGACGGGGAGAAGAGCAACTTGGCAGAAGCCTGGGGAAAACCGAGGTTAGAGGCTGGGCGGAGAGCAGCCCACAGAGGAAAGTGAGCAGCAGTGGGAGAAGCGGCATTGCTGAAGCAAAGGCAGGAAGGTTGGGGAGGGGAGAGTGATGAACAGGTGCTGTGAGGTCAGATGCCAGAAAGGTCGGTGACAAGGAAGCCTCTGGTAGCCTCGCTAAGAGTCGGTAGTCAGTGGCGGGTGGTGAGGAAGTGGAGACAGCCTAGCAGACTCTTCTGTGAAGTCTGTGCAGGCCAGGAAGGAAGAGCTGGGTGAGAACAGAGACAGACCCAGGGCAGAAGGAAGTGGTTATTCAACAATAATTACCCAATCATTGCCGACAAAGCCTGATACTCTCTATTCAAAAGGGGCCACTGTGGTCGACCCAGTCCCCTTTCCCAATACAATAGTCTAGTCAGAGTGATCTGGCAAGGGGGCTCTCACTGTGTGTGGGGTGCTCTTAAAGATACAAAGAAAATGAGGGGGCTGGGTCAGTCATGGGAGAATTTCTAGGGGCTTTTATTTGGGGGCAAGCCCATTCACAACGTCTGAGGTGGACTCTGGGCCAGGCCTGAAACCCACCTGACCCTGGTCAAGTGCCTGGGATGAAGTAATAAAGAAGTAGAATATAGACTTCCCTACCCTGCTCAGATAATTAAGGGAAAATCCAGACCTTGGGAAAATGAGTTTTGAGATTGGAGTCAACATAGAAACAACGTTGGAGGGTTACAAGTTAAGGGCGGGAGGGAGAGAGTCAGGGCACACGCAAAGGCTGTGTCCTTGGCTTTCTTGACACAGTGGAAACGCAGAGCCAGTTATCAGAGACAAATCCTATCCACCCACTGCTGCTATGCCCACACATCAAGGACAGACCAGAGAGGGCCGCACGCTGTGGACCCCAGCACAGAACCCATGTCCACAGAAAAAGAGGGTCTTTTACAGAATGATGCCTCACTGTGATGTTCCTCTCTCCGCACCACTCTGCATTTCGAACTGAGAAGTCTGTGCTGCCCGAGGTCTGCTCTGTTCTCTAGCCTCATTTTTTTTTTAATTTTTTTATGTTTTATTTATTTCTAGGAGAGAGAGAGAGACAGCGTGAGCAGGGGAGGGTCAGAGAGAGAGGGAGTCACAGACTGAAACAGGCTCCAGGCTCTGAGCTGGCTGTCAGCACAGAGCCCGACGCGGGGCTCGAACCCACGAACCGCGAGATCATGACCTAAGTGAAAGTCGGAAGCTTAACCGACTAAGCCACCCAGGCACCCCTCTAGCCTCATTTCCTGATGGAAGCACCTTTGAGGAATATTAGGATTACAAACTGCCTGAATGAGGGCCTGATCAAATGTCTTTGTCACTGGTGAAGGTACAGCCCAGGTGTCCCTGGCATCGTTTACTCTGAATACGGAAGATTTTGTGGCTACTATCAAATCAAAATGGGAAAAATGCACTAAGGGACTGCCTTCTCACCATGCCCAACTTTTGCAACACAACCTTGGAACACTACCAATTCTTAGTTCCTTAGTCCACACAAGAAATAATAGTAGTCTGAAACAAGAGTCGAGTGAAGGGGATGGAGGGGCAAGGCCTCGATTATTGGCACGTACTGGCCGAGGCAAAGAGATGCCTTACTGAGGAGGCAGGTCTCTGACTTGGGTGAGTGAGTGGATGGTACCAATAAAAACAGCAGGCGTGGGATAAGGGAAAGAAGACTTTAGTTTTGGATGAGTTGATGTGGGCTAGATACAGCAGTTATGCAAGATAACAAAATCACAGTTAACAGCTTGGGTATTAAAAGCTATAAAGTACCTGAATTTTCTCAATCTCCAGTTCTCTGAGCAAGGTTACATTTCCTTTCTCTCCCCTTTACAAAACGGGAAGCTTAACTCTGTGAGGTAGTTTGCCCAAGGTCGCGGCTCTAACTAGAAGTGGAGCCAGGATTGAGGCCAATGCAGGCTGACTGCAGAACAGTACTCAGAACTACTGCATCCTATGTGGGTGGTGACCGAAATCCTGAGCGACTGGTCTACGGAGTGGGCACAAAGTGAGATGAGGACACAGCGACAAGGGGTGATACCTGCCACATGGACAGAGCTAAGTGGAATTAGGGAAAGGAAACCCAGAGTCTGTGGTTCTTAAGTGATGTATGGCCAGGCTGAAAGCAGACAAAGTGGCCTTGAAAAGCCAAGGCCACTGAAAAAAAGGCCCTGGCTGGGGAAGCTACCCAATCCCCTTTCAGGCCCCATCCCTCCACCCCTGCTCTTCACTGCCCCACAAGCTAATCAGAATTCTCAGAAACAAATGTTAATAGGCCACAGAAAGAAAACTTGACCCCAAAGGAACATTCCTCCTAGTGAAAGGAAGAAGGGTGGTGTGGGCAAGGAGGGTTAAGGAGAGACAAAAGAAAAGGATGGGGCACATGACCAACCATAAGATGACCCTCCGACCTGTTAACCCTTGCTGCTCTGGCATAAATTCGTAGTGTTCCTTTCCACTCTCAAGTTTCTATTTCGATGATAAAGTATACGGTCACCCTATTTATCAAGTGAGGAAGGGTACTCGGTTTAAGCACAGTTAAAGCAAAGCTAATGTAAGAACCGATGGGAACAATTCTTCATCTTTTGGACCACTGTGCTTCTCTCACAAAGGTAACTGTAATTAACGGTCTTTAACAGATGCTATCTTTTTTTTAAGCTTTTATTTCTTTAAGTAATCTCTACATCCAATATGGGGTTCAAATGACCCCGAGATCAAGAGTCACCCGCTCTTCCAGCTGAGCCAGCCAGGTGCCCCAAACAGATGCTATTCTAATAGGACAGTCTAGTGGTTGGTCTGGAGTCAGTTTATCTGGCTTCAAATCTCACCTCCAGCATCCCTATCTCGAGCAACTTTTAATCTCTCCAAAAAACCATTTATTCCATAGCCCTGTAATGAGGATTAAATGAGATGCTTTCGGGGCGCCTGGGTGGATCAGTTGGTTAAGCACCGACTTCGGCTCAGGTCATGATCTCACGATTCGTGGGTTCGTGCCCCGCGTCAGGCTCTGTGCTGACAGCTAGCTCAGAGCCTGGAGCCTGTCTTTGGATTCTGTATCTCCCTCTCTCTCTGACCCTCCCCTGCTTGTGCTCTCTCTCCCTCTCTCAAAAATAAATAAAACATAAAAAAAATTAGACGAGATGCTTTTGTGTAAAGTACTTAGACAATCCAAGGGGATGGCCACCCCACAAAACACAATAAAATGTATAATGAGGAACCCTCAATTTGGTGGGTCCTGGTGAGCGGGGGGCTAGGGGTGGAGTCATAAACATAAGCAGCCGTGACCTTCTCTGTAATGGCTCACTCATACCACACTCCGGTCTGCTTTGATTTAGGTGAATGTGTTTGTGATGGGGATGATCAAGACGTTTGCAATTTTCTTTGTGGTTTTCCAAGAAGAATTTGAAAGCAGCTCCGAACAAACTGGCTGGATTGGATTCATCATGTCATCAATTAGTTATTCTGGAGGTATAAAGCTGGCAATAAGCTTGCCGTGCAAGGAAAAGAACCACAAAGGGCAATTCAAGGAAGACTAACTGGTCAGTTATTTAAGATGGAAGCTTGTGAAAAGTCAGGTTCCCTAACAGGCAAAACTGAGAAAAGTTAAGGGCTTGCAGTGTTTAGCCTCTACTTGATTTGGTAAAATCAGAAAAATTAAGATTAAGAAAGCTGAAGAAATCAACTATTTACTTCCATGACTCAATTTTCCATGCCTTGTTTCTTTCCACAGTGCCTTAACATTGGTTCAGTGAGCCAGTCTCTCTGGGAAATCAGGCTGTAAAGTTCTGAGCCCATCACCTAGGCACACTCAGAAAAACACAGAGACCCAATGTCTCTTCCTTTGCTTCTATCTGGGGTTAAAACATGGCAGAGTAGATTAATGACTGAACCCTGTTCTAGCCCCGTCACTAGATGCAATCTCATTTTGTGTTACTGTTGTTAGGTTTTATTTATTTAAGTAATCTCTACACCCAACAGAGGGCTCAAATTCACCATCCTGAAATTGGGCCGCATGCTCTTCTGAATAAGCCACTCAGGTGCCCCTCATTTTGTGGCTTTTGAAGGCATTTTCAAACCTGCCTATTTACAATTCTCTTTAAAACAACTCTTCTTCCAAAAAGCAAAACAGAAATATTAAGAAACCCAATACGGACATCTTTCTAAAGGATTCACAATACTCCCAAGTCCTTTTCCTTCAGTTGCTCACGTAAATCGTGCATCAAAGGGAATGCCAAAGCACTTACCTCGTATTTGCCGTTCTTCCTTTTCCCCTTTTTCCGAGGTCTCCTGGGTGCCATTATTTGTGACATAACCGGAGAGAAGACTGTCTCCCTTCTTGGGGCTCTCCTTATTACTGGTGGATATCTGATCAGCAGCTGGGCTACCAGCATTCGCTTTCTTTGTGTGACTATGGGACTTTTACCTGGTGAGTCCGTTGTAAAAATAAGACTATAGAAGATGGAACTAGGAACTTTCCCCTTTACGGTCCCATCCATGGGCCCAAAAGGCCTCCTTTTACTGCCTCAGGTCCGGGAGAATAGCTCATCTGGTAACAAGCCACTTATGTGACTCCAAGCTATTGTTATTTTTTAGGTTTGGGTGCGGCTTTCTTGTACCAAACAGCTGCTGTGGCAACTACCAAATACTTCAAAAAACGACTGGCTTTTTCTACAGCTATTGCCCGTTCTGGGACGGGACTAACATTTCTGTTTGCGCCTTTTGTAAAAGTCCTGATAGATCTGTATGACTGGACAGGTGAGCCATTCTGTTTCTAAACTATCAACTCTGCAAGCTTTAATGTGTAGCTTCCCGCCCCGCTCTGATGAGTGCAAGAGAAGGATTTTTGAGCCGGGGAGGAAACAGGCATGATTTCTAGACGCCCTCCTCCTCTTCCTTCGAGAACACACGGTGGAGGAGGTGCTGAACTACTTGCAGGCTCTGCCATCTGTCAAGAGCCACTCCCAGTTCACCAAACGGTTCATGTCTGCGGGGATGGAGGGCCCTCTGTGCACCTGGGGAGACACCTCACAGGCAAAGGGATACCCCTGGGCACCTGAGGATTCCCTCCTCCTCTTCTTTCACTAGGAAAGCATTCTCTTTTTACATTTTCCCTTAAGAAAAATAAATCTGCATTTAAAAATTCCTCCCCCATCCAACTCACCAATAGACCCCCCAAAAAAAGTGGGTAAAAAGAGCATTATGTTCCTTAACAATCTTTTATACAGAGTCAATGATAAAGTTTTCACAAACACACACCATTTCACTCCATAGTTTTCTGTGTCTAAGCTAAAACATTTGGATTAAAATCACCTTAAAGTACTGGAGAAAGAGATGTATATGTACGTGTGTTAAGTACACACGTAGGAATATAAAAGCCTATTTTTACATGCAGAGCGTTCTGGTTGACTCTTTCCTTTCCCAAGTGAAAAACCACAGTAGCCTCATAGTAAGTACACAGAAAGAGCTGGTACATCCCTAAGGCAGGATAGCTGAACTGACAGCCAATTCCATCCCTGGAAGCACGAGACTTAGCCCACAGCTTTGCTCAGGCCATGCTGACACCAAGCAACTGCTCGCTGCCAAGGTGAGACTGGCATCTGTCTTTTCAAGGAAATTAAAAAAGTCATGAGATGAAAGGCTTGCCCCCTCTTTTAAGGCAGCTTAAGAATGACTCTCATCATCTAATTCTAGAATTCCGTATTCACAGTCCCTAAATCTATATCCCCACTTTAGGCGATCCTAAATCCCTACTTAAAACACACCGTAATCCTCTAACATTTCAAATATCCACACCCCGCCCCATGCTCCCCACCCAAACCTATTCTTTTCTCCTCTTACACAAATAACACTCTCTCTTTCCATGCATCTCCTGGTGCAGCTTTCTGGTTTTCTATGTTCAAAGGATGCCCTGTTTTCACAAGGACACAGTGGTGTGCAGGGCTAAAAATGAAGTCAACAGATTTGGATACTTTAGTTAAATTTAGGGGACAAAGTAGCGTTTTCAGGAATTATTACACGACTGAATACATTTAGTGGCGTGGCGGGGCCCCTTCTGAGCCTTAACACAGTACTGTGAAACGAGAGGGGCGATTTTTAACTTCTCACTCTCACCCCTATTTAGGTGCCCTTATACTCCTTGGAGCACTCATGATGAATCTGGTGCCTTCCAGTATGCTCTTAAGACCCATCCACATTGCAAGCGAGGACAATTGTGATGTTAAAAACAGAGGTAGCTGCTTGTCTACAAGTCACCCAGGGGCAGTGTGTGTGACAGAAATGCCATCCTGCAACGAGACACAAGAGGCCACCATCATCAGTGACAGCGCTCTGCAGAAGGCCGGACAACCTGGTACAAATTTAATAGTCTCGCAAAATAAAAACACAGAGCTCAACGATGAGCCTGATGGAAACAGTGCATTCCTAATAACTAATGAAGAACGCTATGAGAAAGAGGCCATTTCATGGAGCCGTAAGCAAAAACTCTTTGACATTTCCCCTCTAAAAAACCCCTTCTTCTACATATTTACCTGGTCTTTTCTCCTCAGTCAGTTGGCATATTTCATCCCTACTTTTCACCTGGTAGCCAGAGCCAGAACACTGGGGATTGACCTCATGGATGCCACCTTCCTCGTTTCAGTAGCTGGTAAGAAAGCATTACTTTAACCTCAAACTCAAAAGGAACTTAATTTTACAGTTAAGACAATTTTTACAGAATTTACAATTTTACAGAAAGACTATTTTTTAAAAAGGAGTTGTGGGAGGGCCAGGAAAAAGGAAGTCTTTGGAGGCTGATGGGAACAGCAGGCATACCCCTGCCCAGACCTGTCACTGTACCTTGCACACAATGCTCTACACCAGACAGTGGCCCCCAGGCAAGGGTTGTTCATTTTCCTTTATTAATTTTTTTTTTTTAACTTGAGTGGGTTTACAATTTATTTTTAATGTTTACTTTTCAGAGACAGACAATGTGAGCTGGGGAGGGGCAGAGAGGGAGACACAGAACCAGAAGCAGGTTCCAGGCTCTGAGCTGTCAGCACAGAGCCCAATGTGGGGCTCACACGCACAAACCGTGAGATCATGACCTGACCTAAACTCAGACACCTAACTGACTGAGCCATCCAGGCACCCACATTAAATAATTGTTGAATACTTGGCTTTAAAAAGCTGATGCTCAGTGGCAACAGCCACTTCAGGAAGCAGGAAAACCAAAGAAAACCAGGAAGCATAGGACAAAGGTTGAAAAGCGTTGCTGGAGCTAGACTTCCTAGGTCCAGGTGTTTGCTCTATATTTCCTACTTGTACAACCGTCAGCAAGTTATTCGTGTTCTCTGCGTCTCAATTTCCTCATCTGTAATATAGTGAAAATAGTACCTATCTTCATAAGGTTATCAGGATTGAACGAGCACTGCATGTAGAATTTAGAATAGTTCCTGGCCCATCATAAGCATTCAATAACGTTCTGTTAGTATGTGTAGCTAAGAATTTTTTCCCTTGAACTCACAGTAAGACAGATAAATATGCCTGTTAAGGATATTCATTAATGGACTGGCTGATATTTAAAATAAATTCGAGAGGGGTGCCTGGGTGGTTCAGTTGGTTGAGCATCCAACTTCAGCTTCGGTCATGGTCTCACGGTTCATGGGTTCAAGCCCCACACTGGGCTATGCGCTGCCGTGCAGAGCCTGCTGGGGATTCTCCCCCTCCCACTCATGCTCTCTGTGTCGCTCAAAATAAATAAACTTTAAAACAATTTTTTTAATGTTTTATTTATTTCTGAGAGAGAGAGAAAGAGAGAGAGAGAGAGAGGCAGTGTGAGCAGGGGAGGGTCAGAGAGAAAGGGAGACACAGAATTGGCAGCAGGCTCCAGGCTGAGTTGTCAGCACAGAGCCCGATGTAGGACTCGAACCCACAAACCATGAGATCATGACCTGAGCCAAAGTCGACTGAGCCACCCAGATGCCCCTAAAACAATTTTAAATAAATGTGAATGTTAAGTTGAAAATGAAAACAATTGGGGCGCCTGGGTAGCTCAGTCGGTTAAGTGACCAACCTGGGAGCTCAGGTCATGATCTCAGTTTGAGTCCTGTTTTGAGCTCTGTGCTGACAGCTCAGAGCCTAAAACCTGTTTCAGGTTCTCTGGGTCCTCTCTCTCTGCCTGACCCGCACTCACACTCTGTCTCTCTCAAAAATAAACATTAAAAAACCCCAAACAATCATTTTAGCTGTGTATTTATAAAAACGTAAGGAAACAAAATGCTTTATTGAAGAAATATGGGTCCTCTCAAAGGACAAAACAGGGAGCCTAAGAAAAATAAAAGGGATGGGGTGCTTGGGTGGTTCAGTCGGTTAAGCATCCGACTTAGGCTCAGGTCATGATCTCACAGTTTGTGGGTTTGAGCCCCATGTCAGGCTCTGTGCTGACAGCTCAGAGCCTGGAGCCTGTCTTTGGATTCTATGTCTCCCTCTCTCTCTGAGTCTCCCCTGCTCATGCTGTCTCTATCTCTCTCAAAAATAAATAAAACATTAAAAAAGTTTTTTTAATAATAATAAAAAAGAAAATTTAAAGGGATGACATGGAACTGTACTGTTCTAAACATCTGGAAGTTCTAAGTAGCTCAATATTAACGTTTCTCCTGCGAATTTCTTGAAAAGACTGCTTCCCAAGTCCTTACAAAACTGACCGTACCCCATTTCCAATTGCAAAAATACCTCACTTCGGTCGACTAAAGCTTGTGTACACAAGAAAAAAGATACAAAGCTGAACTGCTTTTTTTTTCACTAAAATGTCTGGTAGTCATCAATTTAGATCAGTTTAGGGCTATGCAATGGGCCCCAAGAACCTCATATGGAGTTTCTGTAAAAACAGAAATGGAATAGTAGGATGCATTTTCTGTCCCACTCCCTTTTTGTAGAGCAATTTATGTCTAAAACCATAGGAAGAATTACAAGTACAAAACAACTGTAGCTTATGCTACTCTCAGAATCATTAACTGCTACATTAGCTTGTAATTAATAAAAAATAAGAATCTTCTATTATCATGATACTGAATGCAAAATGTGGTTCTTAAATTTTATTCAAGATACACCATAGTTCCAATGTTCAAAATGACCACGCATTTCCAGATCTCCTACGGACTTCCAAATTAACATAATAACCTTTGGAGGAGGACTTAATTACCAAACCCTCATACACACTCATAATAAAGAGTCCCAACATCTATTTTTTTTTTTCAATGTAAGACTTTATTATTTATGGCCTCCAGTCTTCCACCATATGACTTCCCCAGCACACTGACCAAAGGGTCTATGAGTCTTTTAGACAACTCACTCCCTCACTCGCAGGACCTCTTTGAGGAAGGCCTCCTGAGCAAATGGTCCTCTGTAACCAGGGATTCCGTTAGGAGGTCCAAGCTTCCCAAACGTGGTCAGAAAAAAACACCTGAGGGGTTTTCTACAAAACTCTGAAGGGGCCTTTCTGGTATTTTATTAGCTGTATTTGGAGCAGGTAAATAAATGACAGAATCCACTAACAGACACAGACCATTTTTTTCTCATAAGGTCCTAGCCTCAGGACGAAGCCATATTACTTAGGAAAGGAGGTCCCATGTGGCTACACTTTTCAAAGGGGCTAGGCAAACGGAATCAGGATTTCATAAGGTCTTTCAATATTGTTCCAGGCATCACTGAGGCTGTCAGTCTGATAATCACTGGATGGGTTGCTGATCAGGCCTGGATCAAGAAGTATCATTACTACAAGTCTTACCTCATCCTCTGCGGCATCACTAACCTGCTTGCTCCTCTGGCCACCACGTTTCCACTACTTATGACCTACACAGTCTTCTTTGCCGTCTTTGCTGGTGGTTACCTGGCAATGATATTTCCTGTACTGGTGAGCAGACACACTCATTAACACTGTTAAAGCACTTAGACAAAGAAAGGATTCATGATAACCTCCCCAAAGAGAATACGTATTTTGTATTAATTTTATAATTTAAAAAAAAAAATCCTTTTCCAGGCTGCAGAAACCCTGTAGCTAGCTATATCCTGCCCAGTTACTCATCTTACCTTTGGGGGAGAACTACCTACATGGGACAAAAAAGAAGAAAGCAAAATAAGGATCAGCAGGATTCCACTTTGCTTCTCAGTCTCCCAGAATGTTAGGGCTGTGTTACTGCTTTCCTTCAGCTCTAGAAATCTCATTGGCTCCTTCTAAGACACCATCTTCAAGAGTTCCCGGAGAAAAACATGGGACTTTCTTGGGGGCACCTGGATGGCCCAGTCGGTTAGGCGTCCAACTTCGGCTCAGGTCATGATCTCACCATGGGGGTTCGTCAGGCTCTGTGCTGAAAGCTTACAGCCTGGAGCCTGCTTCAGATTCTGTGTCTCCCTTTCTCTGCTCCTTCCCCACTCTCTATTTCTCTCTCTCAAAAATGAATGAATGTTAAAAAAAAAAATCGTAAGGGAAAAACATGGGGCTTCCTGACCAGTGTGACTTCTTTCTTGTTGAGAAAAGTTCTGTGTACTTTAACAGGGACATTGTTTAACCAGTCTCTACTTTTACTTCAAGCTGACTTAAAGTCCTGGACCCAAAAGGAACTGAAATAACTGGGATCTTCTTGGGATCCCATGGATTCTTCTCAGAACCACAGAATCCCTGGAAACTTCTGGCCTGGTATCAATATTAACATAAGGACTGTAGGATATTATAGTTATCCAAGAGCCAAACTTTCTAAAGCTGAAGTCAACCTAGGAAAACTGACTTCCTACAAACCAATGGCTGGTACTTAGGCACAGGTGGATTCAGGAATACCATTGTCCATTCAGAATATAAATACCATTTCCTTACGGAGAAGAGCTGAGAGAGTCAGGAAATAATGGTGCACCTGAGTCGCCTCAAAGATCACAATGAAAACACTGCCTGCCCAGCACAATGACTCTTCCCTGTTTGCCTCAGCTCTTCTATAATGTCCAGGCAAAAAGCCATCCAAGTCACCTTGGAAGTTAACTGTTCATAGCATTTGTCCCTTTGCAGCCATAGGTCTCCACAGAATTTCACCCTCAATATGGCTAACACTGGATTCTCATCCCCACAGGTTGATTTGTCTGGAACTTCTAGAGTATACAGTTTCTTGGGACTTGTTGCTTTCTTTGCTGGGATGGTTATCCTTTCTGGACCACCTATAGCAGGTAACAGCTTAGCAATATTCTGAGCAAACTTCAATAGCAATGAAAGAAAATGCTGACCCAAAATGGGAACATGCAACGACAAATATCAGGTTAAAAAACTGATGACATCTCTGCTGTTCCTATACTAACTCTCACACTCCGTCACCAATCCAGAAGGATCTGAGGATTAATTCAACAGATAAGAACAGATTAATTCAACAGCTTCTGACATTATCTTGGAAGTCTTAGGGCAAAGATTTTGTGTTAAGTTTACCTGCCTGGGGAGCCAATCCAGAGTTTTAGAAGATTCTCAAAGACCTATGATGCCCTAAACAAACAAACAAACCACTAGCATCTTCTATCTGAGCAGGAGTCAATACGGAGCTTGAAGGCGGCAAGCCTGCCCCCTTAGCCCTTCAGATGTACCATACATACAGCTGTCCAGGGCTTCTCAGAGGGATTTTCCAAGAGGGATGATGGAGACCCTTCATATTTGATCTGTACCGAAGGCAGGAGGATACTTGGCCTACAGGCCAACATCTCTGTGGAGAGGCTGTGGTGGGGCCACTGGTGAATACTAAATGCAAGTACAGGAAAAACTGGGGGAGTTCTGATGATTGAGGTTAAAGACTGAAGTATTATTTTATATGCACTTTTAACCTAAACGGACATTTTGTCCACTGCTTGCTGAACATCTAATCCAAGATTACCAAGAGACTACTCAGAAATATTTCTAGGGAACAGACTTAAACTTTAGTATTTCACGTACTACAGGGTCTCAATATGTTTAAATGTACAAATTACTGTAACATTTCCAATCATCCACAAATAGGAATTCAGCTTCCTTTTACTTCCTTCAGTCCTAAAGTGAAATAGAAAAAAAAGATACGATCCTGCCTTTGTTTTTTTTAAAAACAAAGTTTTATAATGATATTATTTAGGTTTGCACCTAAACGTTAAGACCTAGAATAGGCATATATCAGAAGGAAAAAAATAATATTAATAACAAAAATTATTAATGGAAGAAAAAAACACCATTAGGTTCAATTTAGGTGTACCTAAAGGAAAAATTTATACAAATATATACCCAACTCTTATTTGCATTTATGAGCACACCTCTGCCCATGTGGTCTCGGTCAGTTTACCTCACATCTGGAAGGCAAGCTAGAATGTTAAAGTCAGGCCCAGAACTCTGACGTCAGGACCAGTAACAGGGACTAAACACCAGAGATGTCTAGCACAGTGGCTCTATGGCTAGCGCGCAGGTCAGCAAACTAGGAAAAAAATGAAGCTCAAACACAGCTCGCCAATGCACGTTTTTCAATCTTGATTCTTCTTCACTGGACATCTCAGTGATGCCTTAAAACTTTCCAAGCCTATTAGGTCCAAAGTATAGGGAGGTGACAAATACCAGGGCACAGAGTATCTTACTCAAATGATAAAGGCATCTAACATGTTTAGAGATTTCATGTTTTATATGTTTTTGTACACATCTTAAAATGTTTAAAGACTTCAGTATATGGCGCGGCACCTGGGTGGCTCAGCCAGTTAAGCATCCAACTTCAGCTCAGGATCTCACGGTTCATGAGCTGAAGCCCTGCATCAGGCTCTCTACTGTCAGCATGGAGGCCACTTTCGATGCTCTGTCCCCCGCTCTCTCTGCCCCAACCCCTGCTTGCTCTCTCTCTCAAAAATAAACATAAAAAAATTTCAATACAGGAGAAGACAAGGCAAGTTTTGTGAGGATTATTACTTGAAAGGGAAAAGTTACAGATGTGTGTGTGGGTCTTGAAATCAATTTGGTCATGACCTTTAAAATTTTTTTAATGAAAAAGAACAGACTACAACAGAACAGATTAAAAAACTGTGCATCACTTTATTTTAAACTTTTAGTTCACACACACACACACACACACGCATCATATAAAATGCAGGTGATGTAAAACACATTTCTTACTATCAAGGAGTCAAAAAAAAAAATTACAAGCCTTTTATTACCCAATGTCCATTAATACCCTAGCACTATATGTGAGTAAAAGGACAGCTCATGAAAGAATTTTTGCCCACAAATTCAGAAATTATTTAGGCAATTATAAGTTTTATAAGTTCTACAAAATAGTCAAAGAAATTGATTAAGGCTGTGCTGATAGCTTATATACAGATTTTAAGTGTGGGAGTTGCTCACAGTATCTTAAACAAGACTATTATACAATTAATACAAAATCCAGTTAAATTTCCTTCTTTGTAACATGATCTCTCACTGACTATGCTATGCTAAGCATCTTGTTAAAGGGAGAAACTTCAGTTGAGTCTTTATTCCTCTGTGAAACGACAGAGGATTTTACAAAAGCCGTTAGACTTGTTCCTCACTTCTGAGTCCAGCAGCAAGGACCAAAGAAACAGAAATGCTGATTTACAGTCATTCAGGTCTCAACAAGTGTGGGCAGTTACATTATTGTTTGCAGCTTTAACTAAATCATCAGAAGGGTTACTGGTTATAAAGTATTAAATTCTCGACCAGACTTAGATTTTCAGAACTGTAGGAGATTCTCATTTTGTACTTACCTATATCTGTTATTATCAAATTGCAAAAGTTGAAATTCCTATAAAAGATTACAGTTATTTTAAAATTAGAAATCTAGCAAACAGTAAAACTTTCCACAATAACCCTTAGCCAAAACACTAGTTAAAAACTGTTAACATCGACTGTATGAACAATATTTTCTCCCTCCAATATGGAAATGAAAAAAAAAAGTCCTACAGAGCATATTTTAATAATTTAAGGAAAGAAAAAAAAGCGTAAGAAACCCACAGAAATGAGTTAAAAAAATATTTTTAAAAAATGTAAATAAAGCATACAGGCAAGAAAACTATTTACAGACCTTTAGTAACTCTGAAGATGGTAAGAAACGTAGTAGCTACAAAATTCATACCACCTCCAATGAAAATAACTGATAGGGACTGAAATGGATGAAAGTTAAAAATTACTCCCCACATACACACCATTTCTTCCACCCCACAGCCCCTCCCATTCCTTTCTAATACTCAGGGACAAATTCAATGTTAGTTTAATAATATGATCTGCTTCAGACTGGGACAGTATTAGGATTGTTAGCTTTCCCTGACCTTCGGTGGTCAACAGTCCTAAGTACGGGCCAACTATCATTGCTCATCCAAACCCAACTATTATTTGCTGGTAAATGGCATCCAGAACTACAAGCTGGTGCAGATGCAAGTTTTTGGAAGGCTGTGGAAAAATAAAAAGTACTGGTATTTTTAAACCTTACTGTATTTCTAATAGATCCCGGTTAACAAAAATCAACCTGCAAAAGGCAATATAAATACAAAGATCATACACTGAGCAAAGATAATTGTATTCTCCAACATAGAAGTAGGAATGTGAAATTTCTTTTTTTTTTTTTTTAATGTTTTATTTATTTCTAGGAGAGAGAGAGAGACAGCGTGAACAGGGGAGGGTCAGCGAGAGAGGGAGTCACAGACTGAAACAGGCTCCAGGCTCTGAGCTGGCAGTCAGCACAGAGCCAGACGCAGGGCTCGAACCCACAAACCGCGAGATCATGACCTAAGTGAAAGTTGGACGCTTAACCAACTAAGCCACCCAGGCGCCCCAGGAATGTGAAATTTCTAATCTTGTCTCCAAGGCATTGGACTTGTGAGCTCAAAAATGCTAAAGGCTCAGTTTCAATTAAAAATAAAACCACCAGGGCCCATATTAGCCACCTATAAAATAAAACTGAATGCAGTTCCCTTCTCTTCCACATACCCCCCCCCACTGCCACCTGATGAATGCCTATATTATGCTAATATATGTATTTTTATATATTTAAACCAATCACAGATATCTGAAAACTCCCTTAAAACACCATAAATAATTATTTGATTACCGTTTAGTATTCGTTCAATAATTATCAAGCAACTTTATTTCCACAGCCTTCTCCTAGCTGCTATGGGGAACACAAAGAATACAAAAATTCTCTTGGGGTGCCTGGTTGGCTCAGCAGATAGAGCGTGCGACCTCTGATCTCAGGGTTGTAGGTCCGAGCCCCATATTGGGTGCAGAGATTACTTAAAAATAAAATCTTAAAAAAATTAAAAAATAAAAACAAAAACAAACAAAAAGCTATTCTCTCTCTTTTTTTAAATGTTTTATTTATTTCTAGGGGAGAGAGAGAGAGAGAGAGAGACAGCGTGAGCAGGGGAGGGTCAGAGAGAGAGAGAAACAAAAACTGAAACAGGCTCCAGGCTCTGAGCTGGCAGTCAGCACAGAGCCCGACGCGGGGCTCGAACCCACGAACCATGAGATCATGACCTAAGTGAAAGTCGGACGCTTAACCGACTAAGCCACCCAGGTGCCCCAAAAAGCTATTCTCTTAATGTTCTTCCACAACATATAGGGTCATGATATAGCAATCACTCTGTCATATATACCTCCAGAACTTAATACTCAGGGCAAGAGTCTAGAACCTCTAAAACTAAGGTTTATTAGGATATATATTCTTTTTCGACTTCATCAATTGAAAATTTGCTTAAGTCACTATAACTTACAGTGAAAATTAGTTAACTCTGTTTTCTTACCTTTAAATGAAGACATCCTGAGCTGTGTTATAATAAAAATGACCTTAACAAAATGTTGAAGCTTCACTCAATTAAGTAGTATTTCACCACTGATTTTTTTCAACACATCCAAAGAAAGTCATGTCTAATGCCAAACGGCTATAAGTTGGTTAGACCCCAGAGTCAGTTAACATTAAGTGGCTCCTAAAGGAGAGTACATTTCTCTTTTGAGAATGACTGCACTTTTTGATCTGCTGTTATCAACCTCACACCTCATTAGAAAGACCATGGAGAGCAACTGGTTATTTTACACTAACTCTTTACCTGTATTTTCTAGGAGTAGACAATGGCTAAAATGGAAATTCATCCATCTAAGCTTGTCTCTGTGCCATTAACAACACATAAAAATTCATTTCCTCGTGAAATGTCACTTCCTATTTCTAGCCTATCCTCATTTCAGATATAATATGAAACAAATGTCCCACCTGTTCCTTTTTTTTTTTTTAATGTTTTTTATTTATTATTGAGACAGAGAGAGACAGAGCATGACTGGGAGAGGGGCAGAGAGAGAGAGAGACACAGAATCTGAAACAGGCTCCAGGCTCTGAGCTGTCAGCACAGAGCCCGACGCAGGGCCAAACCCATGAACTGCGAGATCATGGCCTGAGCCAAAGTTGGACGCTTAACCGACTAAGCCACCCAGGCGCCCCATCTACCTGTTCCTTACTCCACCTTTTAAGAATCATGCCCTCTACAGTTTTATCATCTTGACCCACCAGTTGAAAATTTCTCTATGGCCTGAAATTTTATTTGGAAAACAAATAAAATGACTCCACTTTTTGATCTGCTGTAAACCCACTCTGGAGGTTAGGGTAGGTGGGGACAAGTAAGAAGACAGAACAAAGTTCTCTGTCCTCTAAACCCAGAGAACTAGATTATACCCTGAAGAAGCAAAAGAAAATAATGTAAATCATTATTTATTCAGTGATTATTTTCCTCACAAACAATAAAGTCCCAAAGAATAGTACTCAGATTCAGTGTACTCCTAAGGAGTACTCCCGTACTCCTAAGTTTGACAAATCCCAACAAAAACATCACAAATAAATTCCAAACAGCTCATTACTCTGGCTAAAAAGAGGGGAAGGGTGGGGTAGTCTTTCCTTCACAAATATATTCCTTTACAAGGCCAAAAAAAAAAGAAAAAGAAAAAAAAAATCAAACTTCAAAAATCCTAACACAGAGCATAATTATTTTAATGAAACGCACAGCATAGAGCAAATACTTATAAGTATTCCCAGTAAATCTTATTGCAAACTTCTATCATGGGGCCTTTAGAGAGCTCCTGTCTTAGAAGGCAGTGAGGTTTAAATTTGCTAACCCATGTTTCCCAAGACATGTCCCAAACCCATGTTTCCCATCATGGCACACAGAGACAACACACCTTAAGTAAAATGACAAGGATGTCGCCAGTGACTCCAGTCTGCCCAGAGATGACAAAAGATCATTGTCTCTGTACATCTTGGAAGTCTGCCACTAGGCAGCAGCCCAACAGCCAGAAGCTCTGGTTCCAAAACTTTCGAGTCACTTACGGAACTCTCAACCACTAATTTGAACTAGCATCAAGGAACTTGGGAATTAAGGGCCTTCTGGGTGTATTTCAAGTTTTAACAAGATGACCAATAATAAACTTACAAAGTAATCCTAATAAAGAGGATTAATAACTCAGCTCACCAAACAAGTTCTGAGATATCAGAGGTACTTTTTAGACAGGATGGTAAACTCATTTTTAAACACGTATAGCTTTATCCATAAAATGATAAATAGTTTGAAAGTGTTGACACTAAAAAAATAAATTTACAACCCTCTATTAAATATCAAGTTTCATCCTGACTATAAAAAAACTAGTTTGCAGAACTATTAACGGAAGCTGAGCTCTACCTTCTTAGTTGCTTTAAATTATCCCAAGAAACACTGTTAGACATTCCTGCTTAAAATAAGGGTTATAGCCATAATCACAGGAAAATAATTTGGCCTACAATTTTATTGTGTGTAAGAATCAAAGGGGTGCCACCCATGATGAATTATGCTTAAGGAAAGCCAATGAATCTGCACGATTAACATGCATCTCAGGTGATTCTGAGGCAGGTAGACTGGAAACACTGAGGAAATGCTCACAGGGCACTTCTTGGGTCTCCGGCAGTCTGTACCAGCTGCCAGGGTAGCCCTCCTCAGAGTGCTGGCTACATACAGTAATACTCGGCGTGGAGTGTACACTGAGACGGACGCATACCCTCCTGGATTCTGGTTGTTATGCCATCTCATCTTTCCCTCTCATTCACAATGCTTTTGCTGTCCACAAAAGAACTCAGTCTTTTGAATGTCAACTTACGTGTTACATTTAAAACAGACTATGATGGGTTCTGAACTAACTACCAACAGTTATTTATCTTTTTTAATTAACTAATTAATTAATTAATTTAGAGAGGGGGAGGAGGGGCAGAGAGAGAGAATCCCAAGCAGGATCCATGCTGTCAGCACGAAGTTCAATGTGGGGTTCAATCCCAGGAACCACAACATCATGACCTGAGCAGAAATCAGGAGTCGGACACTTAACTGAGTTACCCAGGCACCCCAACATTCTGACTTTAAATGTATTTTTATATGTGAAATGAAAGGCTTATTACCAGCTTTCTGAGACTTATAAAGAAAACCACCATCACCATCCATTTTCACTATTTTTAGCTATGCTCTCCTGACTTTTTAGCAACACTATCCACTTCCTTGTCTAAAAATCACTAGTCTTTTCCAGAGCATTACTTCTTTTTTTATTGTTTTAAAAATTTTTTGATGTTTTATTTATTTCTGAGAGAGAGAGAGGAGAGAGAGATACACAGCATGAGCAGGGGAGGGTCAGAGAGAGAGGGAGACACAGAATCCGAAGCAGGCTCCAGGCTCTGAGCTAGCTGTCAGAACACAGCCCGACACGGGGCTCGAACCCACGAACCATGAGATCATGACCTGAGCTGAAGCCGGATGCTTAACGACCTGAGCCCCCCAGGCACCCCAGAGCATTACTTCTAATACCCCCATCTTACACTCTGCAGGTTATGTATATAGTGATAAATCTGCTGTACGCATGGGGCTAAGCAAGAATGACAAGGCATAGGAAAGGATCCTGGTACTTTCTACACTTCCTCCTCCTTTGTAGAAATTTGAGCAGCTGGTCACCTACCTATCTATCTCTTAGATATCTAAAGGTCAATTACAACTAACATAATACAAGGACCTGTCCTTGTCCACTTCTCTCCACTCCTGCTTAACTCCAAGGAACATTTAAATGAGGTCAGCGATCCAACAAGAAAAATAGGAAAAAGCAAGCTAAAGTTAGCTGAGTTTAAATAGGCTATAAAACATTCCATTCATTCATTGTATCAGTTAACAGGAAACACAAAGCTAATGAAGCAACCAAAAAAACTAAATTATCTATATCAAAATCAAATGAAAAAACAAAGAACAGGAGATAAAGACATATAAAATCAGACCAAAGAAAGAAGAGGGTATACACTACACATTCAGTGAGAAACCATGTTCCAAAATGGAAATCAGGGACGTCTGGCTGGCTCAGTCAGTAGAGCAGCCAACTCTCGATCTCAGGGCTGTGAGTTCAAGCCCCAAGTTGTGCATGGAGCCTACTTAAAATAATACGTAAGCCTCATGAGAGCAGGTATTTTCATCTGTTTTATTCGTGGCATATAGCACAAAAGTTTCTTTGAATAAACGATCAGAATAATAGCTTTAACTTTTTAAGTTATTTTTTAGGATTAAAAGCCAATTTACAACTATAAATATAATATGCATAAAATATTTCAGAAAAGAAGTTCTCAGAGTGTGGCAGTGGATGCTCAGAGGTCCTGAGACCTTATTTAGGAAGACTAGGAGGTCAACACTGTCATAACAATACTAACACATGATTTGCTTTTTCATAGGGCTGACTTTTACAACAATGTTTAAAGGCCACACACACACACTCTTTGCCACCATACACAGTTTTTAAGAAAAGTGTTTCGGGGTACCTGGGTGGCTCAGTCAATTTCGGCTCAGGTCATGATCTCATGGTTCGTGAGTTTGAGCCCCACGTTGGGCTCTGCACTGGCAGTGCGAAGCTGCTTGAGATTCTTTCTCTCCCCCTTTCTATGCCCCTCCCCTGCTCATGCACATGCATGCTCTCTCTCTCTCTCTCAAAATAAATAAACAAACATTAAAATAAAAAGAATTTTAAAAAAGGAAAGTGTTTCATTTAAAAAGTTCTGGTATGTGCCATCAGCCAAATGATTTTGTGGATCCACACATTCTTGATTAAAAGAGAATTTTAATTTCAGGGGGACTTAGAGCCATCATTTAACCCACTTGACTAAGTAGTCACTTCCTTTTCACATGCTCTCACAGTCTCCTGAATCTTTCCTTCATAGCCCTTATAGCACGTGTAACTCATGTGGTTAATACCCAACTCACCACTAAACTGTACAGTCTGAGAGCACGAACCACGTCCATTTGAGCTAATTATCATTAACTTCTTCAACAACTGTTGGGAACATAGTAATTACTGAAATGTTTGTTCAGTGAGGAAAGAACTATAATTAATTCTCATACTTTTTTCTTTGGGAAACAGTAGTGATTCACAATAATTTTCTTTGTAAGAACAGTCACCTTCTAGTAAGATTCATCATAAAATCAAATTGTAGGCATCCCTAATTTTCCCCAATTTCCACTAAAAGACAAGATAAGTTCTGGCTCCACAATGGCTTTCTTCCCACAGGGTCAGGGCCCTAACTCAGGTGAACAGATTTAACTTCATAAACAGAAAATGAGACCAGGCAAGCAGCCTGACCTTCTGATGGGTCATGATACATACAAGTACAGGCGTCTCCTTCCCTCAACAAACAATACTGGCTAAGAATTACTAACTGAAAGGTTTGCTTCACTAACAGAGATCATTCCTTCCTTTCAGGCTTTTTATATGATTACACACAGACCTACACCGGCTCCTTCTACTTCTCTGGCATATGCTATCTCCTCTCTTCGGTCTCCTTTTTCTTTGTACCATTGGCTGAGAGGTGGACAAACAGATCCTGAACAGGAAGAAAAAGGACTGCAATCAAGCAAAACAAAAATCTAAACTAAGAAGTCACTGGAAACAAAAGTTTGGAAGTAAACAGTTTCCAGGGCGCCTGGGTGGCTCAGTTGGTTAAGCATCCAACTTTGGCTCAGGTCACGATCTCGCAGGTTGTGGGTTCCAGCCCTATATCGGGCTCTGTGCTGATAGCTCAGAGCCCAGAGCTTGCTTCAGATTGTTTGTATCTCTGTCTCTCTTCTGCTCACGCTCTCTGTCTCTCTCTCAAAACAAATAAATAAACATTTAAAAAATAAAAAAAAACCAAAACAGTCCATATGGAAAAATTATTTTACAAAAAGTTTCCTCATTTATAAAATGAGAAGGCAAACATGATACTTTTTAAGGTTTCCTTTTGCTTCAGCATTCTGAGCAATGTCGAAATGATAGTAAGAAGAGTAATAGCTACCTAAATTACGTCCTTTGTTAGTATGTAATCACACAGGCTAAAATCTTCATCAGTTAAAACAACTATCTTACGTATTAAATAAAAATCAGAAGGTACTGTAATACTAAATTGACCGAACTCTCAACCGTGCCATGGTTAATTCAGTCACTAAAATACGTGAAGATGAAAAACGATTCTTTGAATGAAAAACAATTCTTGAATGAATATTAAAACCTTGTTTAGTGACTGGAATGGTATAACCCCCCAAAAAAAGCTTCTCTCTCCTTATTGATTAGAAGTAATTTTTGTTTTCATGTTTCTTTAATTTTCTATGATGAATGTACACTGCCATGTAATAAGGAACAATTGCTAAAAACCGCCTTTATGTCAAAATCATTTGAATAGCATTCCTGCCTATCTAAACAATATTACCTTTCACTACAGCTAACTATCTAAAATATTCAAGGTAAATGATCTAGAAGTTTCTTTAGAACTGTAAGTTTTATATAATGGTTGAATAGGCAGCTTTTAAGGGAAGATAGACTTAAACTAAAAGATGTTTCTTAACTATGGAATAAATATGTTAACTAGTTAATAATGTTACTCAGGGGGTGCCTGGGTGGCTCTGTTGGTTAAGTGTCCAAATGGCTCAGGTCATGATCTCACAGCTGGAAGGTTTGAGCCCCGCATCGGGCTCTGTGCTGACAGCCAGTTCAGAGCCTGGAGCCTGTTTCAGATTCTGTGTCTCCCTCTCTCTCTGAGCCTCTCCTGCTCATGCTCTCTCTCTCTCTCTCAGAAATAAAACATTAAAAAAAAATTTTTTTTAAATAATGTTACTCAGGCCAAGCTCCCTTATAATCTCTTTCAGAAGACTCTTTTAAAAGTATTGTTACTAAAAATAATAATTAAATCTAATTAAAAATTATTATTCTATCCTTCCATTCACCTCCACTTTAAAATATTATTTAATATTAATAATCATTTTAAACAATTGACACACTATAGAGAATACTAAACTGAAAACCTGGTCTTGACTCCACAGTACCACACTCTCTCAGTCCCTATGCATGCCTCTGTGCAAGCTTTGCAGTCTCACTCTTCACAATCTGACTCAAAGGCCACCTCCTCTGAAGACCTCCCCCAAGACGACGTCACTCTGTGGTCTGAATCCCATCTACTACCCTTTTTTTTTTTTGAGAGAGCATGTGCTTGTACAAGCCGGTCAGGAGCAGAGACAGAGGCAGACATACAATCCAAAGCAAGCTCTACACTGTCAGTGCAGAGCCTGATGCGGGGCTGGAAGCCAAGAACTGTGAGAAGATGACCTGAGCCGAAGTCAGACACTTAACCGACTAAGCCACCCAGCGGTCCTCCATCTACCTTTTAACAGAGTACTACATGAGCTTACATGTCACTTTCCCAAGAGTCAGCAAGGTCAACAAGCTGGATGGTGTTCTACTGATCTTTGTATGCCCAGCATAAACTTTGGAACCAAATTAATCTGGGTTCAAATCTCAAGTTATCTTAAAAACAGTAGCTGGTCCTATTTAAAACCTAGGCTTTAGGAGTACCTGGGTGGCTCAGTTAGATAAGCATCCCTTCAGCTCAGGTCATAATCTCATAGTTTGTGGGTTTGAGCCCCATGTATCTCTCTCTCTCTCTCCCCCTGTCTCTCAAAATAAATGAAGAAACTTAAAAAAATTTTTTTAAACACCCAGGTTTTACATTTAGATGTAAATGTCTAACATTATTTTTCTATTTTAGACATAAGACAGTATGAAAAAAACAGAAACACCACCCCTCTTACACACATAGACTGCAGAAACACTTGATAAATTGCCACTTTTGTTGCTTGTTGCCATTATGACCTGATGAAGGTTATCAACCTGAATGCCACTTTTCTCCTCTGTACAGGAGGTTAACATCACTGTAAGGACTAAATGAAAATACTCCTGTACTAAGCAAAATAGCCCTCATACCCAGTAGCTGCGAATTTCCTTTTTTCTTCTTTCTACATCCAAACAGAAGATAAACAAATCACTGATTTACTAGGAACCACTCTCATCCATCCCCCACTTCTCATGTAAGCACTAATTTTCTCAGAAGAGCCTTTACCTAGGACAATGAGATTCTTTCCTCCTATGAAAGCAGACTGTACATTTTAAGTAGGACCAGCTAAAGAATTCCAAGTTAAATTCTGATTGGGACAAGCTTTATGAATCTTATGCAACAGAGCAACTCTTCATCCTGCTCAATGGTAGTCAGCCCTCTAAACCTGGGTGGTGTGGACTAAAAAGTCTGATTTCCTAGGCTACAAGACGTTAAAGGCAGCTATAGTTAATGTATTCCTTGTTTTAACAGCTAACTTATGATGTTACTATTCATTTATAACTTTTCTTGGACAATATTCTAGCATGTCAACACATCTCTAAGAATCCATCATCTAGAAATACTATCCCAGATATATATAGTTTCAAGAAAAGCAAAACTGTTCACTGGTTTTCTTTCCCCTTTCCCCTCAAGATCCCTGTGGGACAAAGAGGAAACAAATATTAATTTAGGATACACAGCCGTGTAGGGTAGGGTGGTGAACAACTTCATTTCAACATCCAATGTATACTACTCACTGGATGAGGCACATTTCCTATATTATCTTATTTAAACTTTACAACCTTTAGAAGCAGATGTTATGATAAGGCTTAAGTCAAAGAAATTAAGCACCCAGTAAACTGAAGTCACAAGTCAAACACAGACAGACAAGAATCCTACACGTTCCTCTCTAGATCACCCTAACTTCTCGGCAGTACACAAGACTATGAAGCTAATTTAACTGAAAGCAGTTATCTCATAATAAATTTGTTCTAACTCAAATCAGCATAAAATGTTATAATATCTAGATTGAAATGAAAAGGAGAATGCAAAGTACCTAAGAACAAATTAAAGCCACAAAAGACATCTGCTAGAGTGCAGTAAAGATGTAGTTGTTATGATAATTAACTTTTTTAGGTCTTCCAATATTCACCGAATCTTAACCAAAGAAGGTAATGCCTGATTTTAGGCCACTTGTAGTTTCTAAATACTAAAATATTAGTTGCAATGTTCATAAATTGTAAGCTTTGAAATATATATATATTTTTATTTAGCAGAGCTATGACAATTTGAACATAAAAGTTCAGTGTACTTTCTTCTCAGCTACGTATCAGCTTAAAATGAAAATGTTAAGATACCATCTCTTATAACTCTTACTTTAAGAAATGCTATACTTGGGGCGCCTGGGTGGCTCAGTCAGTTAAACGTCCTGACTTCAGCTCAGGTCATATCTCATGGCTCGTAGGTTCGAGCCCCACGTCGGGCTCTGTGCTGACAGCTAGCTCACAGCCTGGAGCCTGTTTCATATTCTGTCTCCCTCTCTCTCTGACCCTCCCCTGCTCACACACACGCACTCTCTCTCTCTCAGAAATTAAAAAAAAAGAAAGAAAGAAATATCATATTAACATTTAAAAGAAGGGATTTGCTACAGAAGTTCATCACTAAGGATGATTTCTGATACTAAAACTCTAGTCAGGGTACCTTTAACTTTTTAAAGTTCTTTCCTACCTAATACCTCATTATCATCAAGTCAAGCCTTTAAGGAAGTTGGGTAGGTATTATTATTCCTATTTTATGCTTAAGGAACAAAAAGCAAATTAAGACCAAGTTATTTGCCTAAAGTTACAAAGCTAGTCCTTCACAGGGCCAATTCTGAAACCTAATACCCAGTGTTGATGAGATTATGGCCCCTGGCTTTCCTTCTTTAAGGATTCTCTGGAGGTTACAGGGCGCCTGAGTGGCTCAGTTGGTTAAGCATCCAGCTTTGGCTCAGCCCCGCATCTGTGCTCCGTGCTCAGAGCACAGAGCCGGGAGCCTGCTTCGGATTCTGTCTCTCTCACCATCACCCATTCTCTGTTCTCCTCTCTCAAAAACAAATAAACATTAGAGGCGCCTGGGTGGCTCAGTCAGCTGGGTGTCTGACCTCTCTGCTCAGGTCATGAGCTCACAGTTTGTAGGTTTCGGCCCCACGTCGGGCTCTGTGCTGGCAGCTCAGAACCTGGAGCCTGCTTCAAATTCTGTGTCTCCCTCTCTGCCCCTGCCCTGTTCACACTCTGTCTCTCTCTCAAAAATAAACAAAATGGATTCTCTGGAGGTTGAAATTTAATAAAAGCTACAATTACACTTAAATGGACCAAAATGATAATTTTGCAATTATTTTTTGAATAACGTAGACATACTAATATATATGATGCTATGTTTGCAAAAATTAGCTTAATTAATAATGAACTTGTCGAGTTGTAAAATCAGCTATTTCCATGAGAAAAAAACCACACCATGTATTAACATTTTAGCTGTTTTTAAGGAAGACATAATACAAAACACGCACAGCGGTTTCTCTGAAGTCTTCAATATAAAACCAAGGCCCAAAACTTTTTAAAAACCTTAAGTGTTTCTCTTATGCCAAAACCAACTTGTAGAAGGCTTTATGTCTACATATTTGCCTACTCATTTCCCACAAATATCTACCCAAGTGTCTCAGATTTA